CCACGGCAAATGGAAGTGTCTCGGACGGAATGTGGCGATGATGGAGCTGCAGAAGTTATTTGTTGAGGTACGTTGCGCGTGTCCGGCGTATGGTTCTGCTCTTGCGAAGACGACGTACTGACACTTCCGTCAGCTGCTGAGGAGATTTGACTTGGTATTGTGTGACCCTACGAGGCCGTGGAAGTCACTCAACTATGGGATCTTTCTGCAATCCCAGTATTGGATGAGGGCATACCAGCTACCGGTAGAAGCGTCCGGCCAAGATAGACCACAAAAAAGCGAGGATGCGCTGCCTGCCGTCGCCGTTGCAGGTTTGTGACTGGCCAGCGCGGGCCGAACGGGGCGATGAAAGGTTTGTTGGCGCCGCGGCTCGCCTAGTACCGCGGAGCAGGTTGCGGGGACGCTAATACTGGGCGCCTGTTCGTGGGGTGGTGGATGGGCAAGCCGCAAATTGGACAACGTGGTTGCGCAGCTGCTGGAGCTCGACATGGACAGAAAACATGGGGAAATACGATCACCAAAGGGGGTAAGCCTGTAAGGAAGGGCAAGGTAGCGTGCCCAGGGGATACTTTGGTTGTGATGGATGTATCATGACAGACGGAGACTGGGGTGTGGTTGATTAGAAGAGACACCCGTCCTTGAGGCCTTACGGTCGCCCGCCTCTTCGCAACACTCGAGACAAACGGACAGAGAAGAGACGGTATCGCAATTGAGACTTGATTTAGATGCCATGCGGAGGGACGGGGTCCCAGTCCGGGGGTGGAATGTTTCCAGATCCCGTGGCGGTTGGTTGTCCAGCCACAAGACAACCTTCTGGAAGCTCCAAGGGTGTGACGGCACGTATTTGAGCACAGGTGCGCTGACTCACATCAGCTACCTTTTTTCTTCTCTCTTTTTCCCCGTGTCCACTAGATGAGGGTGCAGAACCTAATAAAGACGCTCGACTCTCTCCGCCTCCCGTCTCTGCCCTCAAGCGTCGCACCAGGTGCAACAGCTGAGGCTGTCTGATTGCAGTCGAGATGGTGCGACGTTACAAATGGGCATTGCTGATACAGTCGAGGCACACGACCGAATTGGTTGCTTGACTTGAAGAAAGATCACCGCATTTTCTTGGCCCTCCTCACGAACGATCAGCAACATAGGAGAGAAATGGTGATGCAAATGTTGGCTGGAACGACTGGTCAGCATTCAAGTCACACGGAATATTGCATGCGTGTCGTTTCCTTTCAAGGACACACGGCAACAGCAACGGGCGATGGTGAAGCTGCAAGCGAAAATGGTTGAGTCAAAGTGTGCCGATCTTGACCACGACCTCCTATACACCATCGCACACTCCAAGAGCCTCCATTTGATCCACCAGCGGGTTGGGCTCGTCCGCAGAGTTTGCAATAGCAGTGCGGTTCGCCGGACAAATCGGCTGTTCCCGTTGACTCGTGCCTGCCGACCCTCAATCCCGGTCCAGTCGACGCCGAAGTCCCTTGTGTGGGGAATCGGTCGCTCATGGAATTCGGAGTTCCTACTTTACAAGCTCACTGATGTTTCCTAGAGCATCGACTGTGAGCTACGTGGCCCGTGTTCCCTCATCGTTTGTCAGCAATCAGAAACTCGCGAATAAAACTGGGAATATGTCGCTGCGCCACAGACGTG